ACAAAACCTGTGATTTTCCGGAACTAAAAAACCGGATTTTTTCCTGATTTTTGTCTTTTATTTTTTTTTTACAGGGTTGAAAAAATAAGCTTGGCAGAAAATAATACTAAACGAGCCAAGGTGGAAGAAATTACGAGCTGATACCAATATAGAAAGCATTTCAAAAAAAGACTTGATGATATCTTACCTGAAAACCAAAGAAATGATAAGAGAGCCTATGATTTAGCAAGTGAAAAGATTTATGATAAAATGCTACAGTATCTTTCAGGTATTTCTCGTGTAAGTTTGTGTAAAAGAACTCAAAGAACTAAACCTATATACAAATTATTTTGCGTAATTGGAGAAGATAAAATTAAGCGAGTTAAAACTTATAGTGCAAATAAACTCTCGAAGTTAACTGACGTGCAAATCGATACAATTAAGAAGCATTTCATTGCTATACCGCATGACCTAAAGTCACACACTCATATAACTGAGGTAAGTACACCTATAGTATCTCATCTCAAAGAGGCTTCATTGGAAACGGTATCAGCAAATAATATCTCTCGAGAAACTAAGATCCCATCCACACCTCAGGTAAGTATACAAACTCGTGATCGTGATTATTTTCGTAATAAAATATTAGGTCGATACCCAGATATATATAGAGAATTTAGTAGTGAAAAATTTGATTATTATGAAATTATTGATAAGTCATCGTTATGTCCAGCATGTAAATTAAGTCATAAGGATGAGAAAAGTATAAGAGGTAGATATGAAGCTGGATCTTATTTTATTAAATATGAATAACAAGAGATTGAAATAACTACATAAGTAAATAATTACATAAATCTGGTCAAGTGGATAGCGATATTTTTTTCTTGGCAGTTACGTGATTTTGAATTGAGTTGCATTAATATAAAATGATAACATGTCTTCTGATACTACCTCCAGCAAGATATTAACTGATGACTATTGCAAATAGCATGCTAATTTAATTGATTTACCAAGTTTTCAGACAGAAAAAATTCGTTCTAGATTATATAGAGCATACACGGAAGAGACTGGACTCGATCCTTGGATAAAGTCTGAAGCTTCTGAATCCTCACAAAGCGAAAATGCTGATAATCATATCATACAAGACAGTTCGTTGGAAACTCAGGTAATGGCGCCAAACAAAAATCACCTTTATCAGTATGCCATCAAACATGGAATAAATCCCAAAGAATTTTCAATCATTACAGAGGCTGAGAAAAATAGGTGGACCATGGGGTGTTTTCGTGGGAATTTGGAAAGAGATATACGTTTATATCATGGCGCAATAGAAAGAAAAGAAGATCCTAGAAAATATCGTAGATTTTTAACAGATCGTGATAGGCTGATTGGTGAAGAGTTATTACGTCAAGGCAGCGTTGTCGCTTGGACGTAAATACAGCAATTTGATTGGTCAGAACACTTGTCCCAACCAATCAAATTGCTGGATTTACGTTCAAGTGACAACACTGCGTCAAGGTATACTAAAAAGTGATTTGAGTATTGCATGGCTCGATGATCTTATGGAAAATTGGGAAAAAATCCATGCTCAATTCACACAGCTCCCTGTAAAAAAAAATAAAAAACAAAAATCAGGAAAAAATCCAGTTTTTTAGTTCCGGAAAATCACAGGTTTTGTTA